TTACCAGTGCGTCTGATTGAAAGTCTATAGATCAATATTTGCGATGCGGCCACTGAACTAAATGACGGGGTACTGTGATACAGCTCAGAGAACAACTCATACTGAATATGTATCGCCATTTTCAACAACGTACAGAGTGCAATCAGTACTAGAAAAGGTAGTCATCACCACCTTTTCAATACAATAGGTATCACAGTGTAAATAAAAACAATAAAAACTGTGGAGAACACAGTTTAACCAAAAAAACATAGAAAAGTTTGTGTTTCGCTTTCTTTATCTCAAACATATAGGCGTACACCCTAATCGACTATGCGTTACGTCACGTGTAGAAGGACAAAAACATTGTGAAACATAGGAAGGCAAGAAGGGAAAATATATACTTTTGGATAGACGGATGTATCACGAGAAATTGAAATATTGTCATAGCAATAAAAGGACAAAACTTTAAATGCCCAGTGCATACATACATAAGTACAGAACATACCGGGTACATGACATACCTGAATGTTTTCAATGAAGGACGAGTGATACACATTGTGACAAAAATAAAAATTAACTACTAAAGTGGTATTATCATTACTAGTCTCCTATGAAATTTCCTCACACGTAATAAAGGTAAACATCCAACTATGCATTGGGTTATGAATTCTTTAATATGTACAGTGTAAATATGACTTAAGCACCATATACTTACTGACTGACTGACTAAATCAACTTAGGATCTCGCATGCAGGTGCATCAGCTCCAGTTGCTACACTTCACAGTAGTACACAAACAATAAGTGGATAGAAAAGGAGTGATATAAAAGAAGACAAAGTTGCGTATTAGAATACACAATTTAAAGGTAATGGTTAGTGCAAGTATTCAAGCATTAGAATATGTCAAGGAGTGGATACATCTACACCATTGTGACTGATTTTTATTCATGCCATTAAGATTCCTCAACTAATGATTCCTTTCGCCTCCGGAACTCCAACCAGGCAGTCTACATCCCCGAACATGACTCAGACCAATAGTCACAGACTTTGTCGACTGATGCCAGGTCTTCGTCTGGTCACGCCTAAATCTTCTTTCAACACAATCCAACTTCCTCTAGCATAGCATATCGAGGTAGGTGATGGATCGACATGCGTAGTACATGACCAAGCCACTTCAATCGACTAAGGTCCACAACCTGATCAATAGACATGCATGTCTTGCTTATTACCCTACGCCTGATTTCAACGTTGCTCACAAAATGATTCCACTAAACGCAAGCAATGCTAAGAAGATACCTATGATGAAACACCTATAATCGCTTCATGATTTCTACTTTTGAAACAAGACATATAAGCGAACAATATTGTTTTCAATTAGATCCTCTTCAGGCTTTACTCTAATATAAACAGCTTAGTCTATATATATATATATATATATATATATATATATATATATATATATATATATATATATATATATATATATATATATATTAAACCAATCATGTAGATTTGCCGATTGATATGATAAATGTTTCATATCTTTTGACCAGGTGTGCTTTGTACCAAATTAGTACATGACTAATAAAATGTGTATACTGACTTATAGATGTGGTCTTCCTATAAACACATCTACTGAGTGAACCATCTTCTCTTCTGCTTAGCAAGACATCCAAGGAGTGTAGTCCGCTGGTATTTTCTTCTTCAAAAGTGAAAGTGAGTGAAGGGTGCACTTCATTAAATTTTCTTAACACTTCTTTTGTATCCACATTCTGATCCAGGATAATGAATGTGTCGTCAATATGACGGTGATACATAGTCATCTCGCTAATGACCTCTCTCACTGCTTCATTCTCCAGTTTGGCAAGAAATATATCTGCTAAAATAGGGCCAAGTGGTGAACCCATAGCTATCCCATCAATCTGTCTATAACGAGAGCTATTGAAGATAAAATGTACATTCATAGTACATTTAAGAAGCAGTTCCTTGAGGTGTATAGGAATCGCGATGTTGATTTGCCTTTCCGATATTTGTTGACAGAAAAACTCTATCGTCTCCAGTAATGGCACATTAGTGAATAATGATGAGATATCAAGCGATACCATATGTTTTCCGTATGAGCCTCCCCCTTTGTCTGGTCTACTTATTATGAGATTTTCATCTTTCCTCAGCTTAGCTCAGCTTCTCTATGTTGTTTCATAAGTAAACCTTTTGTAAAGTAACTAGTATTTTTGTACTGTTGGCAACTGTCAACTAGTCGTTATCCTGGATCAGAATGTGGATACAAAAGAAGTGTTAAGAAAATTTAATGAAGTGCACCCTTCACTCACTTTCACTTTTGAAGAAGAAAATACCAGCGGACTACACTCCTTGGATGTCTTGCTAAGCAGAAGAGAAGATGGTTCACTCAGTAGATGTGTTTATAGGAAGACCACATCTATAAGTCAGTATACACATTTTATTAGTCATGTACTAATTTGGTACAAAGCAAACCTGGTCAAAAGATATGAAACATTTATCATATCAATCGGCAAATCTACATGATTGGTTTAATATATATATATATAGACTAAGCTGTTTGTATTAGAGTAAAGCCTGAAGAGGATCTAATTGAAAACAATATTGTTCGTTTATATATCTTGTTCTAATTTACACGATGGGAATTTTTACTTTTAACGGCCATGTCCCACAGACGTATAACAGGACAGAACAAACTGCAGCTCAGTATACTCATAGTAGTACTATTCATTGGTCTAGATATAAACAAGCAGAGCGGGACTCAACTTCATTGTTATCATTTGAACGTCAAAGAGATTGAGCTACAATTCAACTAGTAGTCTATTGAATGGGTTTTTGAGGCAGTTATCGAGAGGCTTTACTTCAGCAGTTTATAAACTCAACTTCCTATTCATGGTATCAAATGTATAGTTTCCACTTCAACAACCTAAACTTATATAGTAACATCGTATGTGCCACTAACCCCACAGGTTACTGACAATACATATCATGGAGCTGAGCGTGATTACTAAGTTTTACCTATCTTATTGTATTATTATTGCAAAGAATTGAATTAATTCCTGCAATTCACTGTTACCTAACTTACTCTATAATTTCGTCTAAATATATTCAATACGCAGTAAATATCAGTGAAATACTGACATATTCTGATAGGATAGAAGTATAACTTCATGATAAAAAAAACAGTCAAGGATATGTATCACAGAACAATCGTTTGCTACAGTTGTCATCGTGATATCAAGGTATATATATATATATATATATATATATATATATATATATATATATATATATATATATATATGGATAAAACCTAATTAGATGCTTTAAATGGCAATCAGAAAATAACAACGACAACCAATACGAAGAAAATATTGTACTTTAGACATATCTAAGCATACAATAAGATAATAAAACTCTAACGAAAAACTTTAGAAATACAGAAGTATTCACGGCAGTGTTACTTAACTTAGTCTTACTGAATGTCAGTCAGGTCCGCCAACCAGCATCAGTGTGAAACTTAGCATAACTCAAATCAAGGTAGGAGGCACAAAGATGAAAGATAGGGAAATCAGAAACAAAGAACAAAAGAGAAGAAAACAATAACGAGATCCCGTATTGAAGATTAGAATGCAAATGATGTATTGATGCATCTACATCACTTAGATAGACTCTGAAGCATATCATCCAAAGTCACCAACCACCGATTTAAGTTGTTGATTCCAACCCAAACTTGAAATCCATATTTCGCTATACGACTCAAAACAACAGACAGGCACTTCATAGACTGGTGTCACGTTAAGTATATAATGAAGATATGGTGGAATAAGATGCACAAAAGTATTTTTGAAGGTGTGAATGGCCTGTACTAAGATACTAACAGATTCATTCATCCCTGGCTTTTATATATTAAAAAGTAAGAACAACTGAGACTACAGAAAAGGATAACTTCACTGAAGCTTGTCACATTCCTATCAACTACGTCGAAACTGAAAAGGCGAAATATTAACAGAATTAGGAACTAAGAAATTATCTGAAACGCAAAATTCAAAGTCAGTATACTGATAGGGATTTATCATAAACAATATTATAACTGATTTACGTAAACAATTAATGCACATTCAACGTAAGGGATAAATAACACAATTCTATTTTATCTGGATTCAAACGGTTATAGAAATTACAATGTTAAGAACGGATCTATGTATTCCGAAAGAATCAACCATTTTAACAATAATTTTCCATTTTAAAATTTTTAATCTTATGATTGTGATTGTGTTGCATTCTCTAAGCTTTCATTTTCTTTCAAGACAAAATCAATCAGCACTAATTTCATTATAAAGTGAGCTGTCTATATTTCTCAATTCAAAAGACTTCTGTATCAGATATTTATTGTTGACAATAAAAGTATCTAAGAAAAGACTTAAGGCAGTCTGTTGATGATATGGTGATATTGGTGGATAGAAGAAAGCGTATTACGTTCCTCAGACATATGCAGAATATACTGTTCAATTACTTGGAATATTATTAGAAATGAAAGTCAATGGAAATCATGTTATAATTTCTGTTGCGTATAAAAATTAAAACAAATTACAGAAAATATAATGATTATGGCTTAATGGTATTGGCTTTCGACTTTGAAAGCAATCCGTTATCAGTGTGAACACTTGTTAGATAGATTGTTAACATTTTGTTAAACAACGTTCACAAAACTTAGTATCGAGTAGACTGTGATATCCTTAATGAAGAAAACTTGTTTTAAATGAAGAAAAATTAATAGTGATAAATAATTTTGTAGACTTCAAAATCAAAATTAGACTTGATAGAGTTGAACAAGTTGAGCAAAGGGTAAATGAATTATAAATGAAATTTATTTGTAAAATCCAAATGAGGTAGACTGGGGTTTATAAATAAGCTAAACAAATGGCGTCGCTTGGTGTAGATTTAATTCAATGGCCGTGTAAAAAAATGTACATATATATATATATGGGAACAGAGACTTACTTAATTCAGCTAGGACAACGCCTGATGCAGGCGGTGCTGGCCAATCATAACGTTCAATGGGTGCGGGTACACTTTTATCTCTTAATTGTCCAGCTGGTAAACATGCCAATTTACGTGTTTCCAATGTTAATTCATGATCATTTAATATAATTGGACCAGAATGATGAATACCATTCATATATACTGAGTTAGGTGATAATGGATTAGTGTGTCCATTAACAGGTGTACCGGATGATATTCTTGTTGTTTTTGTTGTTGCAGTTGCGGTTGATTTATCACTTTTTGTTCTATCATCACTTAAATTGACAGCTGAAGAAGCGATAGGCTTATTTAATGAACGTGATGTAATAATCCCATTATTATTATTACTTTCATTGTTATAATTATTGGTGAGATTATTTGAACGTGGTGTACTTGTAGTATACGGTGGGATAGCACTGCTGGTTGATCGACCAAATAGGGTTGTCCATAATTTTAAACCAGGGGGTAGAAAACGACTTTTACCAGCTAAAATAATCAAATGGAATGTATGCTATAGGAAGTATAAACAGTTATCGGAAAAAAAATAGTAATTCCATTTCATTCTCTACTTATTCAATAATTATGGCAATTAAGTTAATAATAAAACGAGGATAAGTTTACTTACTAGACGATGAGTTACATTTATTACAAGGCAGTTAGTAACACTAGCTAACTACTCATAACTAATTAGGTGGAGAGGTGTTGAAAGCTGTGATCCTTTGTTTAAACGTACAGTGTCTGATACGATGAATAACAGATCAAACATTGTCAACAAATTCATTATCCCGACTATAAGTCATTTCCATTCTTTGAATGTAAGATGTATACTAGGGTTTTGAATGGTCACAAGTAAATGACCGGAAATTATAAACTTAGATTTGGTGTTCATTAGAATACATCAACAAGATGTAGCTATAGCCTAGAAGGAATTTATGCACTATCACAAACTTCAGTCTGGGTCAACATTCATCGCAATCAGACACAGTACCCCCATTTTAGTTTGTCTATAAAATAACGTTTCGGACATTATTTATTGTTCATATTCATAGTGTGACACATCTAACAGGCAAACTAAAATGGATTTACAATTTACCAAAATGTCTAAGTTTTACTCCTATATTAATCAGAAGCAGTACTGTCGGGACAGTCAAGCTACATTAAACCTTATACAGTAACTGATAAAACGCACTAAATATTGATTGGGGGCCCATTTTCTAGAAATAAATACTGTGCAATGCGATGTCAAGTCACTGTAAGTTTGATCAACAGAACCCATTCAGCTCACAACATCGGTTTAGTTACTATCCACTGGAACAATCAACACACTTGAATTTCGTTGGTAACAGGTTTTGGAACAATTTTAAATGTGTAAACATAGAAATGTTGCACCTGGTAAATAATTCAAACCAAAATTCACTTGGCAACGATTAAAAAAGAGCATAATTTTTACATTTTGTTTACTTGTAGGAAGTTCTGTGTTCATGTCTGACTAAGGACATGGCAATACGTCCGTTGTGAGATAGATTATACTAGTACAAGAAAGATAATAAAGGTTAGGAGAAGAAATGAATTACACCATAACTCACACCAGTAGCCTCTATGTCGACAGTCAAGTGTTAGATTGACTAAACCATGTTACTGGATTGTTAACTAGGTCTCAATTTGGTAACTTCTTCGACGGAAAGGTAAACCGTTTACCTAGAAGCTGTTACTTCGAATCATAATGCAGCCAAGATCTTATGAATATGACCAGGTCACAAGGACCAATTTGCTAGATAAGGTTATCTGATATATCTACCTTAACAATAAACCGAGGAAACGAAAAGCATGTAGGCGAAGCATATGAAATCCATAAAGTTGTCATAAATCTGACCTAACTATGAATCTGAGCAAATTGAGACACTTAACTGATCGCCAAATTAATAATACTGATGGAGATTCAGTTCAATCGTTTGTAACGTCAGTGGTTGACAGATGAGAAAGAAAAGAGACAAAGCGATAGACAACTTTAATGGATTATATCAAAATAGGTTCAGACTGTTTCGAGATCAACAACCGTAAAGAAATATTTACTACTTTACTATGACCGAAACCCATTTTGTAACTATTAACTAAACTATTTTAAAAACATCTTAGAAATGAGTGGGTGGAATAAAATCTTAACCTGTAACAAAAAACTTGAGCATTAGGACTCAAAATCACTAAATAATTGTTACATGGAAACAATATTGTTATGCAAAATCAACACAAATAACATGAAATTGACAACAGAATGAGTAGTGTTATCAATAGAAGATAGAAATCAACCTATTGTTAAATCATTGACAGTCACAAATTTGTCAGACTGATTCAAAATAAATTTTAGTCATATAAATTCACATACTCTAAAATCGAATGGTATACGATACATTGAACCATAATTTTGATAAAATATCACCGGATTCATCATATATGATTGTACCAATGATCCATCAAAATAGATGATTGACACTCACTCTTCTGAACAAGTTCAAGTGTCAATTCTATTTGAATCAATGGTCACTCAAAAATCTAGATCATCAATGAAACTACAAACGCTTTCAAGGTTGTTATGGACACTGATAATTTGGATGGACTTTAAAATGACAACTTGAAGACGCTTAACAACAAAGAAATACTATGTACAGATTTCTGTTGCTGCTTTCTTATGCAGTACATTAACGGATAAATAAAAAACAAATAGAAATATATCCAAATCATTTGGAAATTGAACAGGAGAAAATGATGAATAGGGACGCTAAGAGAAGTGGATTTTCTCGTTAATTTTGCCAAACAAGAAGATTCTATCCAGTTAAGTTAAATAATGTCTAAACAAAATCAGTCTATGATAGCCAGTAGGAGAAGGGACAACCTTGTCATAGATATGGCTGAACCAAATTACAGGCACAAAGGTGACCCACCCAAATAACAAGTTGTCAGAAGCTTTCAAAGAACTGTTGATTGTGATATTCAGGTGATGCATTTCTTATGGAATCTTTTCAGCTAAGAACGCCATCAAGTCATCTTTTAAGTAACTGAGTGAAATAGATCCTATACAACGAAATTTGCATTTAGAGTGGGGGAGTGGTGTGTACATCTAAGTTGTAGAATATGCTGAAAGTTAAAGACTTGAAAAACACGCACTTCAATAAGTTTGATGACAAATTAACCAATTACTAAACGATTCTGTGAGTCTAAGGGTGACAAAATCAGCTGTGCAACTACAAACGAGACTCATAACTGTAGTGAGATCAATGGGGATTTTTTTTAATTTAGAAGTAGTATTCATCACGGACTGACATCAGTTGGGGAACCAATGAAAATCTGGGAGCACTAGGCAACTGTTTCGCCCTAGTATGGGACTCCTCAGCAGTACGCACCCACGACCCCGCTAGGGTTCCCTAACTGATGTCAGTCCATGATGAATACTACTTTTAGATTTGAAAAAATCCCTATTCATCTCAAAAATACGTTACTGTATAGTGCTCATTAGTTACTTCCTTCCAGATGGATATCATGAAGCTTTAATGAGAAGCCATGACCTGTGGGGTCAACCAGTCGGAAGTGAAGTGGATGCTAACTGAAGACTTTGGGTGATAGTCGCGTTATGTCGTGAATTGATAGAAGTTGAAAATTGTGAACCACTGGAAACCGACCTAGTGCGTGAATGGTTAACGCGTTCGCTGTGAAACCTGAAGGTCTTGAGTTCGATCCCTAGCGGGGTCGTGGGTGCGTACTGCTGAGGAGTTTCATACTAGGACGAAACAGTTGTCTAGTGCTCCCAAATTTCCAATGGTTTCCCAACTGATGTCAGTCCATGATGAATACTACTTCTAGACTTATAACTGTTTGGTAATTTTCGAGCAAAATTACTGCCCAACAGTTGGAATATTTTTAGAAATATTTATGCTAAAAACAAAAATTTATCACAGTGTATAAAGTTTTCATTAAAAATCTACTTATAATACATTAATCCATTCCACAACGCAAAAACTTTCCATTGTTATATTGAGTCATAGCTGTCAAAACACAGCGCCCGCATTTGACATATATAGAAAGACTACAATTATTAGTTCATAGTAATGTTGACTGAAAAGGTTTTGTACAAAAAAAATACATCAATCTTGTCGAGAATGAAAAATATCCAGAAGTTGTTAAGACACATCGAGAACAATTTTTGAGCAATATTCACAAGCGCATGAACTTATGAATTATTGAATGTGTCACACTTATTATGTAAAGGCTACATGATTGCATAAAACTCGGCAAATAGAGTAGCATTCAACCCTTTATCTTACTACTTGAACGTTCATCGCTTCAATCAATGAATAATAACTACTTTAGGAAGGATGACTGAATTTTTAAGGCTAAAACAAAATCAAAACTTACCTGTGGTTTCTTATGGAAAAACAAAATACTTAAATTATGTAATGTGATCAGTTCAATATTACAATTGGCGTCAAGACTGTGAGTATGAAGGCTGTACAGTGTAAGTGGCTTACAACTACTCATATCAATCAGTAGTATGTTTCATACAGTTTTGAAACGAAATAAGTTCCATATGATAGAAAATGTTTGGAAATAGTGTTTTATTTCTGGAAATTGAGTCGTGTAAGTTCAATTCTAATCCACAGAACTTTATTCGCTTTTTATTTCCCAACAACTGTGTCGATTAGACTAGTAGTCTACTGAATATTATTTTTTTCAGAAGAACATCAATGAAGAAGTTCAATGATCAATACAACAGAATCTAAAAACAATTGATTACAATTATAACAAAAACAATGTAAGTAATAGAAAGGTAACTAGTGTAAACAATGACACTCAGAAATGATAAGTGAATGGGTATTAGTGATGTTGGCGCATCCCAGTTAAAATAACAGATACAGTAGCTTAAACGATTGTTTTCATCATTAGTTGACAGAAAAAACTGCCGAGTATATTTTATTCTGCTTTACAATTCCTTATTACTATCTAAAGTAAATCAATTAAGGACCTTCACACAACAATATGGTCGTAAAACCATTTTAACTACTAATTTTGATCCGAACAACTGGTATTTTCAAACTTCACTATACAAGTTGTTAGTAAATTTGTATACTAGATTAGGAATCACAAGCGTTGTGTTAGTGTTGCTAGTCATTTGACATATAGTATGTGAAGAGGGAACCTATAACCCATAGTCTTACGATATAGTATGAAATCAGTCCCAAGAGAGTTATCTTCATCTTAAAGGATTTAGTACAATTGATCACTATATAAAGGGAAAGATATGTAGCTTAAAATTGCTCATAAGTCAAGATACTTGATAATATTAAAACAAAGAATAGTAAAAATGGTGAATTTTAATCAATTTGCCGTATTTAACAAACCTTCAGTAAGAAAATAAAGTCGAGTTTGAAATTATTCTCCTTTAACATTTATATCAAGAACCTAGTAAAAACAATGATAGATAATAGTAATATTGTGGTTTTTAAAGATAATCTAATTCCATTCAAAAAAGCGAATAATACAGAGATTAGAGTGAGAAGCATGATTATCACGAGATCAGTTTCTACGCTTGTTGGTATTCATTAACGAAGTAGTGTCTATGCTTACAGAGAAATGCACACTTCTTAGGATTCACTCTTGTATCATACAGTGTTAGAATCATCAACTATCGGAACTTCTTCTTCTGATAGAAAGCAGTTCGAATGAATGATTAAGGAACTGTCTTAGTTACATATTTGTCAACTTATTTTCTCAAATAATTTAGTTCTTCCTTGGATTAGTAATCGTCATAATAGTTATGCGGAGTGTATTTTAACGAGATCGCAGATATACCCGACTAACTCCCTTCAGATGGGTAACACCCAAAACGTAATAAGATGAAACAGAGATAACAGAGTAAATAAACTGACTCTCAATCCACATGAGGAAAAACTTAACAACCATTATTAAGTTCTTTACTCGCATCTATTTTTCTTTTACCATAAATTCTTGTTGACTGATTTATCACAGCAAGACTGATTTCAGTAAGTATTCTCGAAACTAAAATGGGATCAGATGAAATAAAGGATAGCAATAACAATGCATAATCAATTCAGCTAGTGAGACGAAGAAGTAGAGTATAAAAAGAGTCGTGAAATGTGATATCTACAACCCTTAGGGGTAGTAGGCAAGAATAGGATTAAAATATTTAGTGTAGAATAATTTTGAATGTTATGCTGCGATGGACATTCAAAGTATATGTATACCAGGAGGAGGAGGAAGAGGTAAGGGCACAAGCGTCCCTAATCCCTAAGGATGATAATCTGCATATACAATGAGATTATCTCTTGCTTAAGCATGATATATGAGAGTATCATACTAAGTGGCTACTGCAGCGATATCAATATTAATATGTCCTCTAAAACCTTGAATAACTTATCACTTTACTTCTTGTTCTCTACTCTAGTCTATCTTTTATCTAGTTACTCTTGATATCACTTCTTACATTTTGGTTTCCTTTCTCAACTTACTTTTCTGTTTCTCTCAAAACTAGGGTATTGTGAAGTGTCAAAATTGGAACCGATGTACTTTTTCTATCAAGCACTACATTCTTGCATCTGCTTGTCGATCATCAAAGAAAAAGCAGACAAACACCATATTTAATCACATCGTCTTTTAATTCGATAAAAATTCAAAAATACTCATTATATACTTGTTGAAACAGACTGGTAACATTTTATATTTAGTAAATGGCGATCGTCAAAGGAGTCTAGGGAATGCAATTCATCTTATTTATGATTCACCAGTTCGTTAACAAAATGTTATTGAATGGCAGTTATTACTGATGAGGTTGTGAACCTTAGTTGACTGAGATGACTTAGACATGTCCTGCGCATGTCAAGCCTTGATATGCGATACTACGGGAAGTTGGATTAGGTCAGAAGAGGGCTCAGGGTGGCCAGACCAAGACCTGGCATCAGTTCATGATGTCTTTAATTGTTGGGTTGAGTCATGTGGGGAGATGCAGACTGCTTGGTTGGGTTCCCTGAGACGAAAGGAATCAGCGGTTGATGTATCTTAATGACATAAATGAAAATCAGTTACAATGGCGCAGATTTATTCACTTCTTGACATATTCTAATGCTTGAATACTTGCACTAATTTTTTATTCTCTTACACAACTTTGTCTACATTGGTATCACTCAACTTCAACCTACCTGCTCTTTGTGTACTACTGTGAAATGTAGCAAATGGAGCTGATGCACCTGTGTGCAAGGTTCTACGTTCATTTTGTTAGTTAGTGTCAGTCAATTATGACTGATGAACTGTAGTTATATATGTATGCATTAACAGTAGAAATTATCTTTCTGTCAAGTTCTCCCATTTATGCTAACAAATCTAGAGATAATACCTTGGTCATTAAACCAATAATTCAAAGGTTCGGATGGCATAATCACTATCAGAAAGAACCAAGGTCATACACCACCTGTAAGAAATACTCACAGTAAACCAGCTAACAGAATAGAGAATGATACCAAAAGTATCATTTGTCTAAGGTGTTAACAAGTTGCCCTAACTCTTCACTAAGTGTATCAGTTTGGGAAAGTAAGCCTGCAGAGCTTCATTTGATACAGCAAGCTATCACCCAAAAAACTAAAATTTGCGTACAAAACCTGTATTTTAGGAAAAGCTACAAACCAGTTCCAGAAGCTAAGGGCACACTTTACATATAACAAGGATAAATAATTAAAAATGACACGATATTTTCAGTCAGATGCTGTCAATCCATACCAGCTATATTCATGAGGAGACATCCCAATGCCTCCCAAGAGCTCAGTGTAACACAACAGTGCGCTCTATTACTATATGACTGCAGAATATGACCATTAACAGCTGAGGATTTACGAAAGCTACAGGCCCCTGACTACCGTTATCTTCATATATGTACACTGAAGAAGATAAACACACAGTATTCAGTGGATAAAGTAAACCATTTGATAGCATTATGAATCCTCATTGACAGAGGTAGGTTAAGACGAAAATCACCAAACTAAACCATTGCCTACGCTAAGTCAATTTCGCCTGAGCGGAACTGAGCTGAATAAAAACAGAATGAGTATACTCAGAAATGGCATCAATCAATGAAGTCACTAAGGTTTGGTTTGAAACATTTAAGGGGATTCTGGTTTAATATTCGGTGTCCTTAAGACAACTGAAATAGATAGTTGAAGGCTTAGAGGAGTTAGATATGGAATATATCAGTGAATCAGATAAAACCACTTCATTTTTTCACCTAAACCTTTGGAATCCCATATTCACATGCCATTTATATTTTCTGTTTATCATATGACTTTTTTAAGACAGTCGATATTATTGTCGTGTTCCCTACCTCTCTCTGCTCTTGATAACATCAGCTTGTTATGTAAAGTATAGCAACGTGGACATATATTTAACCATTTCATGCCCTACCTAAATTGCCAATGTTTGTTTGCCCATATGCAGTGCTACTTCAGAACAAGTGCATACTATAAATCTCTCTAAGAAATCACCAGACGGAAATATATTAACGCTCAAGTAAATGACTGAATGGTTATATTCTTTGGACTCTTTAACTAATGAGTATCAATATTAATATTTAATAAATCCCAGTCCATTACTAAAATAGTATTCGCCGTTTTCCCAATACACAGTATCTCAACGTTAGTACACAATCAATAGCCAAGAGTATGCAGTGGGTCTTCCACAATCGCAGAGACCCTTCCTTTAGTGAGTTTCCATATAAGTGATAACCTAAAATTACAGGGCAAATGTCTATCAGTTTGAACTGTTTTCATCACGAAACAAATAAGTCGACTAAACATTGTGACAGCATCAGTATATCTCTTTATTCACATCAAATTTAACATCTTTAAACAGAAGCTAATCATAAGAATTTCCTGACACTGATATGTATACACAAGTTCGTTATTCAATTATTAAATAAACAATTTGCAACCGAAAGAGTAGTATGTCATAAAACTTACGTTCAGGTAAATGAAACTGTCGTGGTTGGGAATAACTACTTAAAGCGGTAGATGATACATTACGTTTGTATCGATTATTATTGGGTACAGGAGCTTGGCCAGTTAAATGTATGTAAGACTGATTCAAATATCGACCATAGTTTGAGCTTGGAATTCGTCCAGACAGACTCTACATAACAACAAATAAGTACACAGGTACAATACATGATGAACATAACTGGAACAAGCTCATAATTTCCTAGAAGAAAAAGTGCTGACACAAACATTTATTCATAAAATCTTAAGCAACCGGTTTTTGCATCATTCACGTTTTTACACTCTTCATAGAATACTGTTTAAGAGAAAAAGAATACCTACGATGACTACTGTAATCCATGCTTCCATATGCAAAGCTGTGTAATATTGTGTCCGACCTACTATATGCTAACAATACTATGTGATAGCTTACCTTGATATAGATAGGAGAATGAATAATCGAATATCTTGATCGATGAGTATAGCTACACAGCATTTATAGAAGCAGCTTAACATATAGATTTTTTTGGAATCTACATTTCGTACTATTACATGACCACAAAATAAATAATGTAACTTAACTACCTGCTACAGGTTTGATAGAGGGTTATGAGTAACACTTATTGTGTCCAGGGTTATAATACTCCCCAGTTATCGAAGTTGAATTAGATGGAGTGTGATATGAACTTGGGACCCATAACTTTTAAGTCAAGTGATAAAGTCAATGAGTTACAGTTCCACCAGCATAACTTTACATAAGATGCATAAACTGTTTGACCTGGTCTTAATAAGCTGTAAAAATGCGTCGATGAACAAGGTGATTATAATTCATGAATATTAGGTCAACACATAGCTAAATAAACTTAAACTAACACTAAAAATACTCTGCATGGTAACAACGAACATGAAATCAAATAAAGGAAATAGACAGCAAGTAGCTAAAAGCAAGTCTACTAATCCTAAGTCAGCTTGTGACTGAGTTAAGTGGTATCCAGGTTCCTGAAAGACCACGGAAGAACAATAGAATGTTTTAGTCCCTTCTGCTTCAGTATTCTGATGCCAAGAGATTCAGCAGTTTACAGAAAATTGATTTTTACTACCTATAAAAGATGGCTCGGCATATTGTAAATCGCTAGGAAGTTAAACGTTTTGTCGATAATATGACCAGTGTCGATTAGTTGTGATTGAATCGAACTGGTAGCAGTTTTTCATTCTTCTTTTGTTAACTACATCAGTAGATGCTGTTTGGCACGCTGTACCAGGCACCTCATAGTCTGTCCCACAAAACTAACTCCTCAAAAAAAGTTAAATTTACAAGTGAACATTGATGTGGATGTAAAGACGAATCCTGTCTTTTAATCGTGGTGGTAAAACACATCTAGCTGCAAAAGCTAACCTCAACATTTCTGATGGGAACGTCTTTCTGAAGGGTCTTTGTAGTGTGCTAGTAAGGATTTCGGTCGGGGTATTTCCTTTAGACTGAAGGTTCAGAAACAGTTTCTTCTTCCTACATGTGGAAATGACTGTTCTGCTTGTTTTTGTTCTCATATTCTTTTTAATATGTAACTCGCTGAATGCCCATCTTCTCGAACATTCTTTTCAGCTCATACAGCTCATCGTCAACGGTTTTCCAAGCATATTCTCCTGATTCTATATGTGAAGCATCCAATCATATTTATCTTCTGCCTTAACGGAAAGAAAGTGATGAAATGTATGCATTGTCCTCTACAAGATGGTTTTCGGGATACACCTTTAATAATCACTTCAACTCAATAAAAAGAAAATCTAAGGGGATTTTATTTAAACTTTCAACTTCATTCGAAAAATCAATCTTTGGGTGCACCGCTCTCAAATTCATCTGCTTCAACCTTCTTACTGTACAAAATGAAAGTATCATCCATATAACAGCAATACATATCAAAGGAGTCTACGTATATCTTCCTATCCTCCTTCTGAATTCCATCGAATTTCCATCACCTCTGCCGTTATCGTATTTTATACTCAATCTATAACACCATACTAGAATAATAAATAATGATGAAAAATTTGATTTCAATCCACTGATCGCTCAAAAACCTCTTGAGTAATTAGCACAGTATGATGCTTCCATATGAACTGGATATAATTCCATAATCACCAACGACTGCAACCAACAAATGAAATGAGTTCAAGTTAACAAAATACCACATCCACATGCTTTAATCCATTAGCGAGTAAAAATTCCGTCTGTTTATCGACATACGTCCATCACACCTCAAATAAGAAACCTGTGATGATCGGTGTACATGCGAAACAGAGATATCCATATGCGTTTTATAGTCACATCTCATAAACGTTCAGGTACTCCTTAGTGCTTGGAGATAAACCAATGGACAACAAACTTCTGAATAGGTACTTTATCATTAATTGCATGATACAGCAGTGTGGAGTATTTTTTTCAACATCAAAGCACAAATAGTGAGTAGGTTTGGTTTGTAAACCTTTCTGACAGCAAAAAATTTAAACCAAACTTTCGATCATCATCCGTAAATGTTTTTGAGGACCATTTATTAACACAAATACTGTATTATGCTTAAAAGATGGCTTTCTGAAAAACCTATGAACCAATTTTTCATTCATGTCCAAACAAAGGACTTATCAATTTCTTTGTGAAGGAAGCGGATGTTTTTAATAGTTCGCTTAAGAGGTCATACATGACATTGTAAACGCTTTTCAGTAATCCACACCAATGGTGAATTCAATCAATATTTATTTCTATTTCTGAGCCTCAAATAACTTGCATTAATAGAAGTCGGCTTGAAAAAACATAGAAATAGTAAGCGTTGTAGATATTATTGGAAACTAGAATTTCACATGCGAAGTAGTCGTTTATGCATGTCGTGTGAATAGGGTGTCGAGAGCAATAGTTACAGACGAAACTCAGTGTCACTGTTAATCAAGATCCGCAAAAGTCAGCCTAACACCACTTACATTTACACATTAGTACCGAATCACTGAGTTTCTTTGAATTGTTCATAGTGAAATAATTATCCATCGCCAGGTGGTACTCAGTCCTCCACATTCTATTTAAATTGATGAAACTGCTTTAACTTGTTTCTTTGTTTCGGTACTCATATTTCAATCCCAAGATAATGTTTTCAAACTCACTGCGATTAAGTTGATATAAACAACTAAGAATTATTTCTGATCTTGACACTAAAGCTAATCTCAGTCTACCGTATGGACATGATGACAGTTGGTGTCGTATCATTAAAACAATAAACACCTATAATTGACCTGTTTTCTATGAACTGTTAAGAAAATCACATATACTCAGTTATATAGAGAGCTACAGCTCACTGATGTACGTAATGAGCTCTTGTTAGTTTAATCCGTATTAGGATGGCAGACGTAACTGATTGACTGAAGCACTTGCTTTCATGTAAGAAGTCCTGGGTTGAAACCCCGCCCCATTCACTTCGGTGTGGGTATTTAAGTAGCGTTATAAGCTTTAATACGATGAATATGGCTCGTAACAGAGTATGAAACATACTAGGTTCGATAGCATTATTAACGGCCCAACCAACTTTTGTAACCGCAGTCAGATGGTGTAAAGCTTCTCATTCATAAAATGCAGCTTACAATTTCATTTAAAAGGTTGCAGTTAGGGGTTGAGTTGCTCTACAACTATCAATATAGTAAAAAGGTGATATGAAACACCCGGTGTTTATTTCCAAATCAAAAGTTACTAAAATAATATATAAACTAAACCACCTGACTAATTATCTCAGTATTTATCTTGAAACTATGCAGAAACTTACTTGTCTGGATAAATGGAAAGACAAAGTGTGAGACTCTTCTTTTGAATGCTAGCTCTATCCTGATCCGAATATTCATTAGAAAAATGTCTCAGGTTTGACTCATCTAAAGTACTTGACTATAGAGTTGCAAGAAATAAAGAAAAAATGTAGAACAGTGAGAACCACAATGTAAAGAACATGAAAATGAGAGAACTTTACTCAAATGAAAAAAAATAACTACCAGTGTCATCCAGAGCGCAATTTGGTGTTGTTTAATCACTACATTTAGCGCATTAAAGTTAACTGCAGTAAATGATTATCTAACATCACACCATCATCATTAAATTATAGTTTAACCTACAGCGGTTATTTTAACAAAAGTAAACAGACGTTCAGCAAAATCAACAGAATATTACCAGCAGTTCCATGTCATTCACATTCAAGGGTTAAAAACAACAGGTTTCATCGTATTACTTACTGGTAATAAAATTAAGGATATTTCATCCATACAAATAAATATAGACTGAAACTGGTGGATCGACTGCATTTGAGATTACCTCATTGCTCAATTGGTCACGTGGAAAGAGACTGAGTCAGTCTTTCGAAATGATTTGCCCCATACACAACATATAGTGCGATAAACACTGAAGTTCTTCTTCAGGGTGCTGAATGTATTGCACTTTCGCAGCATTTTCACTCGTAAACAACACCATTGACATGAAAACAGTGCTAAGTCCTTTTTCGACTATGTACTTTAGAAATGAGAAGTTGGCATTAGTATTATTGTATTCTTTCAATCAGTGACTAACATTAATTGGCTAGAGTTTCCTTCATAGAAGACTCAAACATTTGTTAGAAACTTACAAATGAAGTACAATAAACAACATAACTGATAATGTACACAGACATCCATGTAACCTAACAATATATTCCGCATATAATGTGAATAAATGAATAACCATTAACACAAATAACTTACGTCACATACACGTTCTCCTAGACCTGAATCTGTACCTTCGAATTAAAATTAGAACTATATCCACAAATAACCTACTTAAGTATCCTCGTTCCTTCGATGCATGAAGCCCATTTTTCTCAGCAGCGGGCCTTCTCAGAATAGACCTTGATTTCTGGGGAAGCCCAGTTGAAGAGATACATGAGTAGTTATTGTGAGGTTGGTTTGAATCCGTAAACTGCTCAGGAACATAATGTGGCGATGCGATATCACTAGCACTGATACATCCCTCATCATCCGTGACAGACAAAGGCGACTGAAAAGTATTCTTTTTGGTGGCACTGCTGACATTTGGAGCAGAGCAAACTTGGTCAATGCAATGTGGACAATAGAACTTCTCTTGCCAAACGGTAACGCGGTCGCCAGGAGAGAATGTCACGCTATTATAAAAAGCGTAAACGACAACGGGTTTCAATAAAACTGCCATGAAAAACATTGGTATTAGTTTAGGAACTCAAACAAGCGATAAAAATGGTTTACGAAACCAGCAGAACGTGATTATTCTGCCTTGAAGAAAAGTCAACTATAAGAACACATTGTTTATGAAAAATATACCATTGAAAATGAAGTAAAAATTTTAGGGGATCCCCCATAGGAGTGAAATCTCAGGAAGTCATTGTAACTATTTGATAAAAATTTTGAATTCATAATTCATGCCAATACATTGGTCTACGCAAGCAAGCACGCATTTCCCTTGTCAAAAATTTCATAAAATTTACGGCCTTCCAGCGAAAAAAATACTTTGAACATAAGGAAACCTATAAGCTGTGTATCCAATATCCAATATCTTTTAACGAGGTTGTGTAAACCAGTTGATTTCTTCATGTTTGCTTCTTGGCCTTGCGGAATGGTTCCAGGTCTTTGGAGGATTTCGATGCAGTAAATCCAGCCACTCGTCTGCTATAGCTCTGATTTACAGAACAGGAAGTTAAGTGTTGGTCTGTTTGCCTTGGACCGTGGTGCAGTTGGCTTCTTCAGATGTCGAGTTGCCAGACAGTTGTTCGGACTGGTCGCTAGAAAGGGTTAGAGGTAGTGAAGAGAAAACCTAGAAAGTGTTTGTGTGAGTAAAAGAAGGGAGGAGAAGTGAACTAATGGAGTAATCTACTTACACCCAAGTAAGGTTAGTAGGGGTGCAAAGGTATGAAGAACTTAGGTAAGTGAGGCTAACTCATGCCAAGTGGAAGGGATGAAAAGGGCTTAAATAGTTACAATAGAAAGAAAAATGGTTGTAAAGTTAAAATAGTTGGGGTGGCTTGACATCAGTTCATGTTCCAGCTATGCGTGGGTAGACCGTGGGTCTCTGTGTGACTGTAGCCTCTTCTTGAAGCTTTCAATAGTTGGGGTGGAGACCACCTCTGCTGGTACTGAGTTTCAGTAGCCGCAGACTCGGAGGGAGAAGAACTGTGAACGCACATGAGCTTTTGACCTTTGGTCAGCTATTTTCTTAGGGTTTCCTCGAAGATCTCCAAAGTGGCCACTCGGTAGTATTCCTCTGTTCGGGCGACTTGGGTTATTTAGTGTTCTGTAAGCCATTATCAAGTCACCTCGTAACCTTCGGTAGCTAAGAGAGTATAGGCCTAGGTCTTTCAGTCTATCCTCATATAGCTTTCGTTGCATCCCAACAACCCCTTTTGTGGCTCTCCTCTGGACTTTCTCCAGTAGGTTAGTGCCACTTTTCAGTTGTGGTGGAGCGAAGACGTTATGGACCTCTAAGTGGGGCCGTATGTAAGTCTTATAGAGCTTCAGAAAGAGTTCTAGGGTGAGGGCACCCAGTTGTCTACACACAAAGTGTAGTACACCATATGCTTTTGAGGTATCATCTGGGTAATTGGAACTGGTGTCCAGTTTCTCCGTTACCGTTAAACCCAGGTATTTTTCTACTGTGGTATGGGACAGACGTGAACGACAGAGATAGTAGGATGTTTTCTGGGGATCAGGAGTGCGGAAAAACATGGGCCAGCACTTATCCAGGTTAAATGCCAATCGTTATTATTTCCCCATTCCTCTAGTGTTTTGAGGTCCTTCTGTAATGCCATAGATTCCGCTTCGCAAGTTGTGGCCTTCCACGACTTGATGTCATCAGCGTATAGGAGAATCGGAGAGCTGATATGTTGCGGCAGGTCATTCACGAACAGTAGGAACAACAGTGGACCCCGGATTGCTCCTTGTGAGACACCGGATGACGATGTCCTGCAAGTTGAGTAGATCCTGTTAACTTTCGTGCAGAACTCCCTATTGTCTAAGTAGTTCTGCAGCCACGATAGCACCTGGCTGTGTATATCTAACCCAGCTATCTTATGTATTACGATCGTGTGTCAGACAGTGTCAAAGGCTTTGGCGAAGTCCAGAAAATTTGAGTGGACCGGGACCTTGAGATCCCAGCATGCTGTCCAGCGATCACGGGCCGTCAGGAGGTTGGAGGCACAGGACCTACCCTTCTGGAAGCCATGTTGAGGGTCAGTGAGAGCTTGTTTCTTGTCCAGATATTCCTTGATACGGTCGTTTATCACATTTTCCATAACTTTTGATATTAATGGTAGAAGTGCTATGGGTCTATAACAGTCTGGATTCTACCTGTCTCCTCCTTTGAAGATGGGAGAAAGAATAGCCCGTTTCCACTCTCGTGGGGGCTTTTGTTCATTCAAGGAGTGTTGAAAGGGATTGTACAGTGGGCCATATATAGTACTTGCACATTCTTTCAACACGGGCGGATGTCGTTGCACCCCGAGGACTTTCCCGCGCTTAGCTTTGATAGCCCGTCGAGAACAACAGCGCGAGTTATCTGTATTTCGTGTAACTCCGCAGCGTCGGGTAACTTTGGAGGCTGTTCGTGCAGTTGGTATGCGCACTTTCTTGATGGAATGTTGAGCTGTGCGTTAAATGTGGTGCTCAACATTTCGGCGATTTCCTGTCCAGAGAGGTTTTCTTTGTTCGGATCTTTTATGACGCATGCTCCTTGGCTTGTCAATTTTCTCTTTGGTATAAATCGGTGTAGGTCCTGGGGGTTTACCTCAAGCCTCTTGGCGAGGTTGAACTGGAACGACCTCCTGTCTCCCCGCACCCTAATGTTGCTTCAATTCCGTAGAGTCATGGATGCGTCATGGTCGTCCTGTTCTCTGGAAAGTCTCCATGTGTGTCATGCCCTTTTCTCGGCTTTAGAAGGCGCTCAGTGCCCCGTTTTAGCCATGACGTTTGCTTTTTAGTTGTTGTTACCGCCAAAGGGACGTTTCGAAAGATGGCCGCCTCAATGATATCTTTTACCAGTTCCCAGTGCTGGCCAATCAATAAGGAACACCAACCCACTAGCCACGGAGCTCTTGATAGGCTTTGATTCATTCCTTTGTAGTTTGCCCTTTTGTAACAGAGGTAAGGGCGAGGTCCCTCCCATGATAATTTCTCACTGATTGCGAGGTCGAACACTACCATAGCGTGATCGCTACTTCCAAGAGGAGTTTGTACCTGAAATTTTTCAACCAGAAGGTGATCAGCGGATGTTGTCGCTGATTTTTTCCTGCAGTCCAGCCATTTGGATGGTATTTAGCAGGTTACAATCGAACTTCAGGCTCGGGGTCGTGCCACCTTGCTCTAGGCTGCGGGTTGGAGCGTTGAAGTCGCCAGCTATTAGAATCTGGCCGTACCCTATAGTTGACACTGCGGATATTAATTTGAACATAAGGAAACCTATAAGTTGTGTCGCTTACGAAAAGATACTAAAAGAAAGTAGCCTTATTTAGGAAAATAAGAACGCCGCCAAACATTTTAATAGGTTAACATAAACTAATAGCCTACTACCGTCTTCACTGAAGACTGGAACGAATACGAACTACTTGTAAGTAATAGGCCTATAAAAATTTCCATACATGTAACCTGTAATTATCTGTGCACAAAATGTGCAATGCATTTGCATTAGTACACGAAATCAGACAAATAATCCTTTGAGTAAAAATGCATTATAATCTACTTAAAGCATGAGACACGAATTGAAAAGAAGTAAGATTACTCGACTTCATGATAGAAATATCACCTGACTTGTCCATAAAATCCCAGGGATACAAATTGACAGTAGGCAAAATGTTAAGAAACATTCAAGACCAATAATAATAATAAACTTACGAGCAATCATTGCATTTGAAGCATTCTCGATGGAAGGAAAAACTGAGGGCTGTTACAACTTCTCCAGTTAGATCTTCTGAACAAATTTTACACTTCGCAACGAAATAACGCTGGTAATCATCCTGACAATAAAATCCACCATCTTTCATAAAAAATCCGCCATGCTCAAGGCTTATATTGCATTCTACATATAGATATATAAACTTACAACTACTCACTTGTGCATTTAAAACAGTCCTTGTGAAAATATTTGCTGGCCACTCGCAGAACATCTCCACGACATTTACGATGACATTTCTCACAATAAATTTTGCCTTAAATTTGAAATGGTTTTTATCTCTTGAGCTTCATTCCTTACCCATTAGTGAAAATCATCTGATCTTATTACTGCACATGAGTGATTTCAAATAAAACTTTTAAGAAAGCCTCATCTATTTGAGACATTAAAACACATAACTTAAACGATGCACCGAACATCAAACGTCTAATATCTTTTTATGAGCTAATGTGAACTAACTGATTTTCTCGTGCTCGCTTCTACAAAATAAATAAACTTCAAATGTAGCCACCACCAATCGACAATTCCAGCATCGATTCACGTTAACCTCTAATTCTGTTATAAGGCAGTTACAGCGGACTCCATCAACGGTCATTGGAAAGGTAAGTTATTTTCTATCAGTTCCATCTTTGCTACCCCTAATGCCAGTTCACAGATCAATTTTAGTTGGTGGATTAGTGATAAATGGATGCTGTTAATGAGATTTTGCTGTGGGGATGAAAACTACCATTTAATATCAGGCTGCACCGTAAACCATAGTTGTTTACCGACACCACAACTTCTGACATGTGAGACAAAAGAGCAACTGGGGTACACTTTCTTGCAGCAGCTTTGTCGATTGTCTCTCAACAGATCAGTGACACGACACAACCTCCAGAGTTGGAACACTTCGCCTGACTGGTGAAATGTGCAAATGGCCCACCACTGGGCTCACACAGAAGTCGGAACAAGTACCTGAAAACACTAGCATACGCTTTACTCGAAAGCGTAAACTTATTCCTTCGGTTCACCACAAGGTGGAAGGCTATATCCACTCAAAGCTAAAGCTGTAAATAAGATTATCAATAACTTGAATCCCTTCATTCTATTTTCCGTTTTCGACACCTGTGGTTTTCGGAAATGGAAGCAGACGGTTCATCACTTCTAGGCGCCAGAGCCAGATGAGTGAAAGCCCCCTCGGCCTCGCCCTCTAGTTGTCTGAAACCATTGGTATACCCACTGAGTGAGCGGGTGCTCCTTTGGCCGATGGAGAGCAT